AGACCCTAATCACTTCTCAAGCCATGGATTTAACCTTAGAACGCTTCCTAGTGATGTAAGAGACCCTTAAGCACTCAAATACACTCCTCCCATGAGTTTAAGGCCGTATACTCATGGGGGAATTGGTCCCTCAACCGTAAACTCACCTAAGGTGGGTAATTAAGGAGTAAACTCCATAGTAAGGCCTTACACTCCTTCCTTTCAACCCAATAGCCTCCTAGCACTTGACCAAAATGTTTTTCTTCGCATTAGGATGTCTATACGTGTTAAATTAGTTTTAATCACTAATTATATGTAAACATATGTCTTCATATGTTACTAGGGTCATAAAGTGTGTACAAATCTTCACTTGACACCAAACACTCAACCGAGACTTCCATCCGATCCACTCGCTGCAGGTGAGTTCATACCCCTTAATTAACCTTTCAAATGTTTTTAAAATGTTTTATAGGAGTTAATACAAGTTGAATACAACAAGTTATAGTATCAATCATATGTGATTTATAACTTGCTATCGAAAAGGATTTTCTATACTTTTAATTGCCTTGTAAACAAAACTGTTTCAAATAACATTCCATGCAAATTTTGTTAAACTGATATAAATCTATTATCAATTTATTTTAAAACCTCTTTCTTTTAAAATTATATCTAAACCAACATATAAGTAAGATTTGAAGGACTTAGGACTGATAGCTCACCTTACTTCTTGTTCTTGTTTGATTGTGGTCTTAGGGTATATTGTTATCTGTCCGACTGTCGTTGAATTCTTAATTATATATCATATATATTTGTGTTAGATACGAAAGTCTTCACTTAAGTCAATAACTTTGTAAATCAAAGACATGCAATCCTACACCCTATTTAACTATAATAGGTATAGTTAAGACTACTACTCATTAGCCCTATCACTACGATGCTCCCTATAATTACTACTATTACGGGATAATACATGTTGAAAAGAACACTTTATACATCATACTAAAAAGTTCATTATATTATAATACTAGAGAATACACTAATCCTGAATATGACACACTATTCCTCTATACGACACTCTACTTTGCAAACACCGTGTAACTAGAGCTTTCGGAAGGAAAACAACCACTACATGTATAGATCTATACAAGACAGACACTATTACATCCCAACTGCTAATTACAGTCCGAGCCGACTAGGCCCAGGGGTGACGAAACATCACTACACTACGAATGACCGGGAAGGTCATCGACCACTCTACTATCACTAAGATTGTTTACATGAGAAATCACATTCGTACCCAAATTAACACAGTAAGAATTAAAGACTAAACTAACTTCCCGAAGTGAATATATATACATATATTACTAACTGAAGTTTGCAACACTACTATATTCAGCCGGTAGTAAAACTGCTGAAATAAGATATTATCTTTCTTCATTTACTTTACATAAATGAAATCTATACCTTTGTTTTCATGATTGACAGTCTCAATGGGGAAAACTTTTACACACTATAAGGATTAAACTTACAAATATGCAAATCTGGAAAATATAGGATTTTCTAGGGATTTTACTATTTTCAAACGTTAATCACAGCTTTTACATTACATGATTTTAAACACTTTTTATACAAGCAACGACACTAAATTCTTATGAACTCACCAACTTTATGTTGATACTCGTTTTCAAATTAACTTGTATTCTTAGGTCAAAAATAGACAGGTACTGATGCAGCCTTTTGAGAAGATGGAGCATATACAAGACCCATCTTTATTTTTGTTTATACTTTGGGTGTCTATCAAACTGTACAAAACACGCTTGTATTTACAATTACTATATTAATGCAATGGTTGTTGTCACTTGTTTTTACTATTTTGCATTGTTATGATACTGTACATGATGTTCTCCACCCTAGAACGAATTCCGCCATTCTCGGTTTTGGGTTGTGACACATACAACTCGTCGAGTCCACTCATGTAACTCGTCGAGTAGCTATAGTTCTTGATTCATACAGTGGATTTTCGAGCCATGCACGGGCTCGATCCACTATTCCAAAGTCTATTCCTCACATAAAGTTGCAAAATTTACGTGAAACTAAAGAGATATAGGCTCAACACACTCTAGGGCTAGGGTTTAAGACAAAGGGGCTTCACTAATAACTTATTGATTGATGCTTTAAGACATTCTGGACCATCACAAGGACTCTCTAGAACTATAAAGAGGCCCAAAGGAGGCTAAGGTTCCTTTAAACAGGGTGAAAAACCCCGGGATTTAGGGTTTCATCTGCCAGCTCCTACTCGCCGAGTCCCAATATGGACCCGTCGAGTAGGTCACTTATCACGCGATTCCACCCCGCTGCTACTCAACGAGTAGGGCAACCAACTCGTTGAGTAGGGCTTAACCCAAGAAATCTTATTTAAAACAATACCTGTGAGTCGGGGCCTTACAGGTGATGAAATGATCTTTCTTTGATCCAAAGTCTACTGCCAAAGTTTAAGTAAGTTCTTTCTCATTTTTTTTGATATAAAAGAGAACTCTATTTTTTTTGGTAAAAGATTGTTGGGTTGGACTCTATTTATGTGAATATAAACTTTAGATAATATGTGAAATTGTGCTGATAAAGAAGGGTAGTTCTACAATTTTCTTCCTAATTAAAAATCTTGTAGATGCTCTATAATAGTCAACATAAATGTTCAAAGAATCAAATGCCAGGAGAAAAGACAATTTCCGAAGACCAGTATGCAAACACAATGTTTTCTTTCACCAAACATATATTACCATTTACTTTTTGGTCAGAATGGGAATTTAATTCCATTCCGGTCCAACACTTGGTTTCAAATGCTTCCCACAAAGTCTCCTTCCATTGTAGGAATACGTAAGTCGCACTTGGTCCGCCTAATTCAATGAGATTTAACAGGAATCGACATTCCATTACAATCCTTCTTTCGGATGCAAGATATGAAACAATAGAAAAGATATATTCGGAAATGCAAAATATGATAGGAAATGCAGAAATATGGTTATATTATACTTTGAAATCAAATAGTAATGAGTATTTAACTTTGGTATTTCATTGTTAATGTTTGGTTTTTGATTCTATATTTATTTGATGCTTTTGGTATTTAAATGATAATGTTTGATTTGGGATTGTATAATTAATTTTTTGAGTTTATATTACTCATTTGCGAGGGATCAGCAATGGAAAAGAAAAAAAAACATATATTAAATTTGAGAGGGATCAGCGACAGAATATAAAAAAACATAGAATAGAGTTTGCGAAGGATTAGCGACGGATTAATGGCGCCGAGTTTTGTCGCTAAGGTCCTAAATAATTGTATTAAGTGACGAATTTGCAATGGATGATCTGTCGCTGAGGTCGTTGCAAGGAAAAAGTAATCCGTCGCTAAATTTGTCGCTAGGTTATTAGCCACACTTTAATTGGCTAGAGAGTATGTTTATCGTTTATCCGTCGCAAACGTCCTTTAGTGACAGAATAGCGAGGGATTTTTCCTTCTTTGAAACCCTTGTTTCTAGTAGTGATAGTAGTATTGACGAAAAACCCATCATAATCTAGAGTAGCTCTATAATAACATTCTCCAGAGGGAACTGTGTCTCTTGGAGTAAGACTAAATCTTTTGCCATTTCTTTTCAATATATAAATGTATTCCATTGCATTATAAATCACTTTTTCACTGTTATTTGTGGAATTGGTCGCATCAGCCGTGCCAATGGAATCATAAGCACCATAACCTGAGAAGTTTGTTGCACTGATTGTACGGTTGTTAAGAACAAGATTTCCATAACCTGGTAGGCAACAGGGTATTTGCTATTTGCTGGAAAATCAAAACTACCCCACTTGCGAGATCAAGGATCTCTAAAATCTTTATGCCCATTTTAGTTTTTTTTTTTTTTTTTTTTTTTTTTTTGACAAGAAGGTTACTTGTTCAAGTCATAGTACAATGTCTTTGCAAAATGCAATGAAATACGATAGACAAAGACTCCCTTTTGCAGCTATTGCATTCAATTTTTATCTTTCTAGCTAAGTTAACACTATTACAAAAACGGGTATTACCAACAAAATTTAGCGATTGAAAAATCTGTCGGTAACAGAGACGGAATACCGATGGATTTCCGACCGAGTAAGAAAATCTACATATCATGATTTTAGCGACGGTTAGCAACATATTCCGTTACAATGTACCGACCGTTTACCGACGGAAATCAACAACATTTTATATGCCCGTCGGTAATCTGTTGGTAAAATTGTGAATTTTTTTTTTTTTTTTTTTTTTTTTTTTTTTATATATATATTTGGGGCAATTTGGTAAATACCATAGATGGTGAGCTTTAATTAGTCAAACTTGGTGAGGCTCAAAGATTACTCCGTGCCCCCCTTTCTCTATTTGAACGACGACTGACAGGCAAGAACCATCAGCATCGCCGCCTGCTGCCACTCCGGTTCTCTTGAGTCAGCTGCCGCCCTCGAAGGTGTTATAAGGCATTGCTGCTGCAGCTGCTGGATCACACCCTTGGATCGGATTTGAGCTTACTTCTCCATCTTTTTGTAGAAAAACCCTAATTCAGTAGCTATTTCCGACGGATTTTTTCCGCCGCTAAAATCTGTCGGTAATACCTAGTTTTTGAGTAGTGAAACCCCGTTAAACTCCCATTGGAGATGGCCTTATCAAAAACAAATCCATTAACCGAATAATTATCCGCTAACAAAGTTCGCAAAAACAAAAAGTCAAGAACATTAAACATCTACTAGTCTTGTTAATTATGTGAAAATCCTAAAATCTAGAAGAAAAATAACACATTTTCATATTTGACATAATCTGGATAGTAGGCATCAACGATAATTAACCACCCTAGCTAGTTTCTCAAAGTGTGCGACAATTAAACGGAATTTTACAATCTTTATTTCTATACATATCATGGAACATTGTGCTAGCATAGAAACTAACCATAAGAAACAACATATAGGATTTACCAGGAGAAAATATATAGTAGAGTAACTAGAGATCAGTAATTGGTAACAGAGACAGAGCATGGACATGGAGGTTCTGCCACCTCAATTCCTCCTTCAAGCATCTGGATCACCTTCCTCATGGTTGGCCTCAAGGATGAGTTCTCTTGTACACACCAAAGGCCAACCATGACAAAAGTTGCAAGTTTCTTGTAGTCATCAAATGCTTCCAGATCGTTCTCAACAAATGTATCCAGTCGACCTTCTTGATAGCAATCCCAGGCAAGATCAGTTAAAACCGCCACCCCTTTCTCACCACTCTCGTAAACCAAGCTCTTTCGGCATGAAATGATCTCTAGCAGCAACACACCAAAGCTGTACACATCAACCTTTACTGTGACAGGAGTGTTCCTAAACCATTCAGGAGCAACATAACCTTTTGTTCCTCTTATTCCAGTGTTTGTATGACTTTGATTCATCATCAACAGCTTCGCCAATCCAAAGTCAGAAATCTTAGCATTGAAGTAGTCATCAAGAAGTATATTCTGAGGCTTTATGTCACAGTGAATGATCTGGGTGCTACACTCTTCATGAAGGTATGCGAGTCCCTTAGCAATCCCAACAGCAATATAACTCCTCTGTCTCCATGTAGGTCTTGCGTCCCCGAAAAGGAACATTGCCAAAGTGCCATTGCTCATGTACTCATAAACCAATAGGCGCTGCTCACCATCATCACAATAACCAAGAAGCTGCACCAAATTTTTATGATGAGTTTTTGCAATGGTGTCAACCTCGGTTTTGAATTCCTTTTCACCATTATGAACCACTGTATTCAACTTCTTCACAGCGACAGTCTTTTTCCCTATCACACCTTTATAGACTATCCCGAACGCCCCCTTTCCCAGTTCATCCTTGAACCCATCAGTAGCTTCAACTAATTCTTGATACGTAAAACGAGGTAGATTGCTTTCAACAGCTTTCCTAATTGGATACGAATTTCTTGGCTTCTTCTTGTATATTACAAAGAAACCGACACAAATCACACCAATCAATACAAAGATAACAAATACAGAAGTACCTAAGAGAGCGGATCCTACAACTATCAGATTTTTTCGATCTTTATTTTCTCCCGGAAGCCGAGTAGAGTTTTGAAGAGGATGATCACCAATCTGGTATTTCACGAACGCCCTCACATTAGCTGAAGCAACCTTCCTCCCGTTAGAAAGTGGAAGCTTCTTCTTCCAACATTGGGTGTCCCTATATATTGCAACAGCACAGAAACAATCTTCCAAGCAGGAACTTTTACAGGTGTTTTCATTACTTGGGTTCATGTGCACATAGTCTGAAAATGGCCAATCAATATTTTGGAGCTCGATGAAATCAAACATGCCTCGCCCATTATTGGAGTCAACTTCATCACATGTTGGAGTGAAATCAGGCTTGCAATCACCACTTGGATTATTTGGATCAACCAATGAGAAACCCTTTGGGCATTCACAGTTTGGCTGGTTACCATCAAAACTGCAAACGTTGTTAAACCCACAAGCTCCAGTGTTCGAAGCATCATTTATATCCGCACATATGTTATCTGGCACGAACCATATAACTTTCCAAGTTGTATTGGAGGTGGGATTCTTGAGGAAGTAATATTGACGAAAAACCCCATCAGAGTCTAGAGTAGCTCTGTGATAATAATCTCCAGAAGGAAGTGAGCCTCTTGGAGTAAGAGCAAATCGTTGGCCATTTCTTCTCAATATATACATGTATCCCGTTGCATCGAAGATCACTTGTTCACCGGAGTTTGTTGAATT